AAAAGAGAAAATCATAAATATGTTGCTTGATAAAAATTTTTACTTATAAGTTAATTTAAAGTTAAAATTTATTGAATAATACATGCTTTGACCTTGAAATCTATTATATATATTCCATCTGGTCCTTTTTTATAAAAAATTATTTTTAACTAAATCATATAAATTAAAAAAATTTGTTGAAAATAATTAATATATATTAATTTTTAAAAATTAATTATAATATTATAAGTTTACCTCCCATTAAAATCATACCACATAACATTCAGTTTTTCACCTAAAATATTTTTTTACGCATACATGTGTGTATTTATGTAAATTTAAATCAAATAAATAGTTTATTAAATTATTAAATGTCATATGAATTCGAACGCTACGTATTTTTATTCTCAATTTACTAAATTTTATGAAATTAACTGATTTTTTTTTTTTTTTGCATCGATCCATTACAAAGTCATTCAATGTCTTGCCTAAAGCATTTTTAACCATTTTTCATGTTTTCTCAGTGATAAATAATTATATAAATATATTAGTTAAAGAAAACTTTTACTTAATTTGATCATTTAAAGTTACATGTGCCATTGCATAATTTAAATTTAAATCTTTTTTTGTTAGTTTTCGATCCAGAGATTTTGTCAGTATATTAGTTCTTTATCTTTATAAATTTTGTATCATCATTTTTATTTTATAAAAATTAATTTCGTGGACTAATTTGGTTGATCATACACCTTTGTCGTACCAGTGTCACGAACATGCCTGCAACAAGCTTGAATATGCGTCTGTGTTTTACCAATATTTTTTGTTTATTTTTTAATAACTTTATATGAATATTAAATTTTATTATTTAACCTATTGAATTAAATTTTTTCATTAAATATGTCAAATTTATAAAATTTCACATATTAAAATTTAATTGATATTTTTATTGTTACTGGACTTGTAGAGTGATGCTCAATGTCGAATATGTACCTCCTTGGTGATCTTGAATGTCTAGAAACGTTAAGTAAAATATGTATTTGCAAAAGACACTTTGATAGTAGTAAAAGAATTGTCAAGCATATAAGATAGAGAATGAGAGTGAGAATAAACTTAGCTGGAGTTCACCTTTATGTAGTGTGGATTTCCTGACCTATATATTGATACATAATTTGGTATACTATGATAAGATAATAATACCTTATATTAATTAAGGAAGTAATGTATTAAACAACATTGGGAGATCTTTCTAGATTACATTTCACAATAATTTTAAAATAAGTTAGTAAATATATCTTATTGTGAATTTTAATTTATCTAAAATGTAACAAGTATTTAACCATTAAACAGTTATCATTCTAAGCCACCCACTTCTAGTCTCTTACGAGCAAAAGAATAATGGGATTCACACAACAAAAATTCACAACATATTTTGCGACAAAAAAGAGATTAAAAAGAAAAAACTTATAGAAAGTGTTATGGATGTGACATTACTCAAAGCAAAATGTAAAATATATACACACAACATACTTTACGAGAAAGAAGAAAGGACCTCAAGTCCTGAAAGATGAATCATGAATGTTGTATATGGATCGCCCTCTTTTTGAAGCAGAGTTGCAGGAGAATTGCTGGGCAAATCTCCTTTGGCAGGTTGCTCAAAATATTGCATGTTTGAAATGCATACCTTAGCTTTTAACTGCCAAAAGAGAACTTGCCCTGTAATGCAACCACAACTAGTAAAGACACACACAACACGAGGAGGATGGATGCTAAGAATGTTACATATAACTTGCTAGAATGGGTATATCCTATAGAACAATCCCTTCCTTTTGCCTTTCATATGGTTTTATTCCTTTGTGCCTCAGAATTATTATGATGAAAATTATTTTACCAAAGATAATTTCAAGCATTTGACTAATTAAATAAAGATAAAAGGTTAGTTACGCAAATTTAGCATCTCATGGAACATACATGTAGCATTGGTGGCCTCTACAAGCTCCAAATTAAGACTATTCCCCTTCTTTTCTATCATGAAGATCTTCAGTTTTATTATTTGAACCATATCAGATGAACATTATATGTAATATTGTATATCATTATTCATTTTAATTTACCTTTTATCCTTTTTCCAAATATTAAAAGGAACTTAAAGGTGTTCCTTCTCAGTGTTTTGTATGCTTATAGTCCGGTCCAGTTTTAAGAGTAGTTTAGAGGTGCAATCGCCTAGGGCCCAAGCTTGAAAAAGAGCCAAAGTAAAAATTGTGTCCTACTTTCACTTGAAAATTTTTTTTAGCTCTTATAGTTTGCAGTTAGAAAAAATAAAAAAACCTTTTAATTCCTCGCATCTCACTTGCTATAAACGTTCGACTCATTGACTTCTGTAAACTCAAAACTTCATTTAATTCTAAAATTTTATTATTCTTAACATTAAAGCTCATGGAGAATTTTAGTTTTTTCTAAAAAATTAAATAATTATTGAGTTTGTCAAATTTGCAGATTATTATCTAAATATTTTAATCACTTATAGAATTTATTTTACGGTCCCGGTAATTATATTATCAACTGAAAGAAGTTTTTTAGAGTTAAAGTTAATCAAAACCTACCTAAAGTCATCAATGTCACAAGAACCGTTGAATAGTCTCACAATTTTATCAATCGATAAAAAAAATTTTTAAAAAATTAATGTTAATGTTATCATTAATAATTTTATATTTCGGAATGCTTGTAAAACCTATTTTTTTTATGATTTTTTGTATTTTTGTAGTTAATTATAACATACAAGTTGTTTGACTGAAAAATATTTTTTTTATAATTTTATTAAAAAAATTATAGCTCCTTAAAAAAAGCTTATTATTTTAATAAAATTATTAATATATGCTTTTATTTTGTTTATTACATTTTATAATTTTTTTAAAAGATCCTAATTTTCTATTTTGCCTAAAGTCTCAAAAAGGTTAAGAACATTTCTGCTTACAGCTTGTTGATTGCCCGAGAATTTATATTTTTAAAGCTAGCTTGCAAAATTCTTAGGTGTTTGCAGAGTAAGGAAACAAATTTCATTCTATATTATTTAACATGAGTATTAGATTATATTTTAAAGATAGGACGGGAAAGCTATTATCAGCACTTTGGCCTCGTAGTCGCCGACGGAGGGCGAGCTTAAGTAAAGTACCTTTCACCGTTTCACGTTTCAAGCTTTGAATGATAAATCAGATCAATATATGGTTTAGATTTTCAGCGCATATATACATTCACAAGGAATCTGATTTATTATTTATTTATTCATTTATGAAGAATTAAGGAATCTGATTATTGTTGGAAAGAAAAAGGGATGTAAAAATATAGAGAGAATAGACGAAAAATTCTTATGCTACGAGAAAGAAGATACTTGACAAATATCTCATTGCTTGTACAGACAAGGTTTGCTGTCAAATAATTAATGGAACCCAAAAGTTGTTTATGAAGAAACTAGAAACAGCTCATGGATTTGGATTCTTTGCTTCTTACACGTACGTGTTGGAAAGAAAGAGATTGTAATGAATGGTCAAGATGCGTTTGAAGTGTCTCGTTCCTCAAAATGCCAGATGAAGAACGTGAATATTTCTGATCATCTCATTGAAGAACGAAGAACCACATGAATGCTAGTTCAAGGGAAGCATAGTTGAAGGAAATTGCTGAGCAAATATCACTTGGCAAGTTACACATTAAGGAAATGCATGGCAAGAATCAGCATATCCTATCGAACAATGCCTTCGTTATATTCTTGTGCTTCGTGCATGACATCTCCTTTGTTTTCGAAGCATCTTCTTTTTTTTTTTCTTTTCTTTTATCATATCTTTTTTACGTTAAAAGATAATTTGAATTGAACTAACACAAGCAGTGTTTAGTTTCCCCAACTTTAAAGATTAGGCTTAGTAATCTCTCATAATCAACTCACCTAAAATGTATGTTCATGAAAACAATTACCAAGATTAAAATAATTTTATAATTGTTGAGTAAATAACATTGAAAATAAGAATAAATGTTTTATTTTATTATCCTAGAAACCCATAATTTTTAAATAATAACTTATAACTAATGTTTGAAGGAGATTAAAAAAAAATGGTACAACTAAAAGGTAATATTAATTATAATAAATTTTAAAAGAAAAATTCCTTAAAATTAAATTATTTCAAATATGACCAGTAAATTTATGATATCTTATAAAAAAATAAAATTTCATCGTTAGCAATGTGAAGAGCGGTAGGTGAAAAGGGATCCTTTCATGCGAAGGGGTCCTCTTCTTTATATTCTATTAAAACACCAAAGGAAACCAAGAAGGCAGAAAAGGGCTCCTTTCATGCGATTCAATCTCTAATCACTACAGTAAATCTTAAATTAATAGATAATAAGGTTAATAATTTATTTAAAAAATACCTAAATACTCTTTATTCTCTAATATATTAGAAAAATTACAATCTTTAATCTAAAAGAATATATAACATATTTAAATACCTTTTTTTTTATCTAAAATTGTGTTTTCTTTTAATATTTAAATATTAAAAAATATTTATATCTTTTTTAAATAAATAACTAATTCTATTCTATTATACATATTTAATATAAAATTAACGGTATACATATTTAATTTACAAGGTATTTTAGAATTTATTTTTAAAAAAAACATAAACCCTTTTACTATTTTTGTTAATTTGTTGTTATTTTCGATTTTCCATTTGAAATTGTTTGCCAATGTTACTTTTTTTCAAAGAAAAGTCCAGTTGCTAATTTATTTATTAAATAATTATTATATTTATTTGAAATTGAAGATTGTTGCTTATTCTTTGGAATCGTGATTGTGTTACAGAATTTTCATTTAAATTTTTGTTAACTGCTTGAACGTGGTATTCAAACAAAAAAAATAAATTGACTGTAATCTGTTCGCACACGCCCTCTGTTTTTTCTGATAGCATAATAAGTTTCACAGGTCATATCAATCTTGCTGTTATTTATTTCCAAAATTTCTGACATACTTGAAACACAAAGTCATGGGTGCAGTGCATATCCCAGATGATATTGCCTTCTCTGTTCTGTGTAAACTGCCTCTGAAATCTATCAAGCGATTCAGTTGCGTACACAAGTCATGGTCACTTTTATTTGAAAACCCTTATTTTATGACCAATTTTCGCCATAGTTTCATATCTGATTGGCATTCTTATCACCATGATTCATGTCTCCTCCTTAAGCAGACGGAGCCTAAAGAGCCCATTGATTTCAATTGCGTGTTCTATGATGAGAACATGGTCAAACTGGATTGTCCTCTTTTTTATGATAATTTTCATAATGTTGAATGGTATTTTTTGGGTTCCGCTGTTAATGGCATTCTTTGTCTCTCTCAACATGATCAAACTGTACTGTGGAACCCAAAGACTCATGAATTCGAAGTCCTTCCTCCAAGCCTAACCGGAATCAAGCGTCTTCATGGGTTTGGCTATGACAAAGTTAGCGATGATTATAAGATCATATGTACAGTTGCCGCTCTACCCAAGGCATGGGAGATATATAGCTTAAGAAGTGACTCTTGGAGGAAACTTGATATCGATATGCCTCCATGTGATTCCAAACCTATTGGCGCTGACGTATACTTGAATGGAATGTGTCATTGGGGGGGTGAGAAGGATGGATTTGAAATGTGTTTGGTGTCGTTTGAATTGAGCAAGGAGTTCCTTACAACACCCTTACCTGACCTCAATGATCCATGTCCCGAATGGTTTGCAACCCAATGGTTGACAAGACACTTGGTGGTGTTAAAAGGGTCGATTGCTTTCATATCAAATTCTTCGAATTCTACTTCTACTTTTCATATATCAATTTTGGGTGAACTGGGTGTCAAGGAATCGTGGGTTAGACTCTTTACTATTGGACCTTTACCTTATGCTAAGCAAACTGTTGGTTTTTGTCGTGAGGATACTCTTGGAATTGGGAAGAAGGGTGATATACTCTTCAAGAAGGGAGATAATGAATTAGCCTGGTTTGATTTACGTACCGAGATGATAAAGGACATTGGTATTCGTGGACAATGGCTTTCGTCTCAGATTGTAATTTATAAGGAAAGTCTTCTTCCAATCGGAGGAAGAAACAATTAATACTTTTTTTTCCTTGTTCAACCTTAAAACTTTATTAATTATCAAATCGCAAGTGAATCATGCTTTGTAAATACCAGATACGAAGAGAATATTTTTAAAAACTTTGATTAATTAAAAGTATTCAATAAAAAATTGAACGTTTAACTGTCCAACCTAGACCATATGATAAGTAGTTAACATAATTGGCAAAGTTGCATAAAAGTTTAGATATAATTGGTTGGATTAAGAAGACACTAGGGTTGATTTGCTTATAAATAATACTAGAATTCACATTTACGGGAACGACTTTTGGCACCACACCAGCACCTCAAATTTTTTAAATACTAAAATTTTGCATTGAGCCATAGAGCAGATACTAAACAATTCAGGGTTGTTGGTTGTTGTTCACTACAAATCATACCTTACGTTTTCACAATTATTTCAGTTCCATGTTTAATTTGTTTCCGTAATCCTTTAAGTTTAATTTAGTACTACTTTAATATCCTTCTACTCCTGTTTAAATAAATTTTTTGCTTCACGCACGTTGATTATATTATTGCGTTGTATGTATTACGTTAAAAACTCAAGACAATTGAACATTAAAAGATTATACGTATTACGTTAAAAACATATCAAATATATTATTTTGTCAAATATATCACGTGCTTAACAAGAAATCTTTTATAAACTATTCCTCTAACTTATGAGAATATTGGTAAAAATTTAACATGTGAGATAGATTTTTTATAAAAATTTATCTTTAACTGTATCTGTAAAGAACCTTTTTCAATTACAATACCTTTAAGCTTTGTTTTGAAGTTTAGAGTATAAGTAAAGAAAAGAGTTTGAAGAGAGATTAAACTTTTCTCTTGTTTGGATTTTAATTTGAGGATGGGTGGGTGAATGAGGGTTTAAATACATAAATGATATTATTATCCTCTATATATATATATATATATTTTTTATTTTTTTTTCAAAAAATACAAAAATAAAAAAATTTCTTCTTCTAAAAATTAATATTTTAAAAAATTAATATATTTTAAAACTATCACTCTAAAAATATATTTTAAAAATTATATTTTTATTTTTTATAAATTTTTTTAAAAATATCACTGTAAAAATTAATATATTTTGAAAAAATTAATTTATTACTATTTTTCTTTAATTTTTTCAAAAAAAAACACATTATATATTTCTCTCTCTAAAAATTAATATTTTTAAATTTTATATTTCTAATTTTTTTATTTTTTTAAAAAAATTTCACTCTAAAAACTAACATTTTTTTAAAAAATAATTTTTTGTTATTCTTTTCTTAAAAATTAACATCACACTTTTTTAAAATTATTTATTTTGTTCTTATTTCATTCATATAATTATTAATATAAAAAAAATATTTTAATAAACTAAAATATCTCTAAAATAAAAGAACTCACAAAATTAAGTTTAAAAAAATTTTGAGGGGTTTAAAAAAATCCTCTAATCTTTCCTCTCCAAATTAATTTATTCTCAAATAACAATTAAACTTTTCTAACCTTTTCCTTCTCCTCCTAAATATAACTCTCAAATATACCCTTAGTCGTTGAGTGATTTCAAAGAGTTTTGACCCCTTTTAATCAATTAATTTGAAGCTTATAAAAGTTAAATTCAAACATAGTAAATTGATGATTAAATATGAGGTTTAGAGCATCCGGTGAAGACGTGCTCCGTAAATCTATCCAGTTTTAATGTTGAGACTTGATTCACACAGATACTTTTAGACATTCCTGTGATGCATCTATAGCTGCAACTGCGAAGACACATAGTATGGAAAATAGTTACTGGGAATGTATGTATTGGTAGAGTCCTCATATGCAGTTATCCACGGTATAATATATATGCATTTCATGGTTAATTTACATATGTTAATCCTTTTCTTTCCATGATTTCTAACTTTTCCTCAACTGAAAGTTCAGTCATGTCAATTCGTGTTCAGTTCGAGTAAAAATTCTCTTTTGAAAGTTTTTTTTTTTTAATTTTTAATCAATTTAAACTTAACTTATTCAACTAAATGAGTCAAGTTTGAAATTTTTTATATTTTTTGAAGTCAAACTTTTTTTTTTATTGTCAAATTCCATAAGTCAAGCTTGAATCGCCTGGACTTGGTACACCTTGGTGCTGGGTCAGCATTAAAGTAGCTTTGAAACGAAGGGTAATGAATGAGAATATATGGTTTCAGATTTTGTGTTTATACATTCATAAGGAATCAGATTTTTGTTGGTAAGAGAAAGACTTGTGTATAGGCAGAAAAAAGAAAAGGACGTTGCTAGTGCCATAAGAAAGAAGATACTACAGCACATTCCCTTTGGCTTGAGCTTGCTGTCGGCGACTAAAAAATAATTAATTGACCCAAAAGTTGTTTATGCTGAAACTAGAAGCAGCGCAAGGATTTGGATTATATGTTTCTTATACTCTTGTGGGAAAGAAAGCGATTTAAATCAATTATCTTTTAGTCGTATGTTCTCAAAGTGTGTGAAAGCACTTTAGAGGCCCTCCATTAAAAACTACATGCGTTTGCCTTACACAGAAGATGATTTGTGTTGCTTAAGAATTATATTTATCTAAACATTAATGACACAACTATCTTTTCGCATTCTGATCTTTGTTCATTCTTAATAAAGAAAAAAGAACATTAATTTTTAACGTCGTTAGATAACTGAAAAGTATAGACAATTTACACTCACATCTTTAGAAGTTTAACAAATTTTTATATGATATTTAATTTTCCTTTTTTATATTAACCTCTCTCAATTTATATAATTATAAAAGAAATTAACATAGGTGTACATCAATGTATATATAATTATAAAAGAGATTAACATATATAATTATATACGTTACTATATAAATTATGGAAAGTTTATCTAATAGAGACAAGAGAAATCAAGTGAAATGCATCAAGTCTATAAGGGTGATTCATCTTAAAAAACACAAATGCTTAAACAAGTATGGCTAATTACCTACTTTGTTCACCTGCTAAGTCTCCTGCTAATAAGGAAAGAAGAGAAAAATGGTGAATGCCGTTTTCATGAAGAAGAGTTGCAGGATAATCGCTGGGCAAATCTCCTTTGGCAGATTGCACACTAGGAGAAATGCATATAATATATCATAGTGGATACCTGCCAATGGAGAAGTTGCCCTGTAATATAGCTGCAACTGAGAAGACACACACAGAGGAATGGCTCTTGGAACCTTATTTATGGCTTGCTAGGATCGGCATATCCTGTGGAACAATGCCTTTATTTGCGTTGCATGTGTGTCCTTTCGTCCTATGGTTTTATTCTTTTGTCTGCGAACCATCCTTTATGGTGATTTTTTTTAACATTGAAGATAATTTTAAGTGCTACCCTCGAAAAGCATAAAAAAGAAAACATATGACTTGGTTTCTCCAAATTTGTGTGGTACATGTTGGTTGCTTATGCGTTTCCAGATGTGAAATTCCTATTACACTAACGCAAGGATTTTTCTTTTTAGATTGTTCAACTTATTATACTGGTTCAGTTGTATTTTTCTCGTTCTTCTAATTTAGATTACGCGTGATTTTCATCTTTTTCAATTTTGTTTAAGTCTTTTTTTATTATAAACTTACTAACCAAATCATTAAATTACACCAAAAAGTAAAAAATTCCCTCTTTAAATAGAATCTTGATTATTTTATTTTGAGAAAATAGAGCACTCGTAAAGAAACTTTCCTCTAATAGCTCTTCTTAAGAAGAGTTTAAAAATTTAATTTTCCATTGTTGCAATCTTCTGTTTTTCTAATATATTTGTAGAAATATTGGAAAGAGAAAAGGTATCGGAGACATCTTCAAAAAATTATGCAAAAAGACTATGGAAAATAATTTTATATTTAAATATCCGTTCAACTTACCACGTATTGCAATTAAAGATGTTCAATATTTAGTTTGGAGTTGCATAATATTTTTAATTTAATTTTAATACACTATTAATATAAAAAAATTTGCACCGTTAGTTAATTTATTAAAAAAATATTTTTAAGCATTTATTACAAAAATTAACTATTTTCAATTGTGTATCATTTTATTTAAAATAATAATATAAAATTAATTAGTAGCACGTGCAATATGTAAAGGAATTTTATTTTAATATATACATACATATTAATAATTAAATAATATAAATTTATAATTTTTTAAAATAATAACATATATGTACATATAATAAGATTATTTTTAATAATAAATTTTTAAAAACTATTTTAATTTAACTTTATAACTACAAAATGTAAGATAATAAAAAAAATTATAAAAATAAACATAAATATTTATAAACTTAAAAAATTAATACAAAATAATAAAAAATATCAAATAAAAACTCATGTCTCTAAAAATTAATATAAAATGTCACTTGTAAGCTCTTACTTGAAATTATGATTGAATCCCTGAGTTTGTAACTGGAAAACCTCTCCTATTATAAAAGTTACCTAGTTCCGTGATTTAAATCATTAAAATATTATATATTATTTTTTATTTTAAAAAAAAATCAATAGCTATGTACTTTATATATATAAAAGAAAGTTAAACACTGAAAAATAACAAAAACCCTGCAAGGTTCCAGTAGGGTCTGTTGAGGCCCACTGATAGATGTATGAAACGCAGTTAACTATGGGCCCAAGTCATACACGTAACGTAGTCACATAACCGCTTCTTCAAGATAAGCCACCCTTGTAGCTGTAGCTCGTAATTTGCATTGACAAAAAATATTAAGAACCAACGAAATTATTAATTTAATAAATTATCAAATATTTAAGACTAAGATAGATTCCTAAATTCAACTTATCTTATAAATTTTGGTTAATATGCTCACCAATTTTAAGAATAAGATAGATGGGTCCTCTGGGTTTTCAATTTTTAGATTTTCATCAAAGAAAAAGAGAAGGAGCGCTATAGTTTTACATTTACAATTTTATTTTAATTGAATATTATAGTATAATAATATTTAAATATATCCTTGTATTTTTTGTT